ACTTAGATCAGGAATTTAATTTCTGAAAAGAAAAGAGAGAGGGATAAAATTTTTCATGGCAGTGGATGAAGAAAAGAGAAGGGGTATGCTTTCTACAGTTATGGTTAACTCCCTCATTAGTACTTTTTCTTCATCACTCACATATACACACACAGAAAAGCTGCCCTTAAAAAGACTTAAAAAGCAATAGAGTCAGGAGCCCTCTCTTTAATCATTAAAGGAGTACTGGAAATAGTTATATCTTCTTTTCCCAGCTCAGTAAAAACAATTTATGCTGGATGAGAAGACAACTGAACGTCAGTTTTGTTGAGCTTGAATTTCTCACGGGGAAGGGTATGTAATTTGTCCAAGGGATAAAGATAGGTACAGACGTGGATAGAGGTACACCTGTGACTTTACCGATACAGGAAATTTCCTCTATGAAGGCACCAGGTCAGTATTTTCTTTGCAACTTACAATCTTAGAGCAGATGTTCTTAACTTGGGGGCCATGAATTCAGAAGTCACTCGTTTCACAAGCTGAGTCAGACGGGCTGTAAAGTCGAGTTCTGGGACTGAATACTGAAGGGAATGAACAGTGGTTCTTAACCTGGAGATTATGAACTTTAAAAAACTTTTTAAAATAACTATTTCAATATAATTGGTAACCCTATTTATTTTATGCATTCAAAAATATAATACTGAGGAGGTGTCCACAAGCTAAGCCAGACTAGAAAGGGGGTTCATGATAGAAAAAAAAAAGGTTAAGAACCCATGTTTTACAGTGTCCTACGGCACCGAGAGGTTAAGTAGCTTAAAAGGTCACAAAGCCACTAACTGTCAAAGACAGGACTCAAATTCAGTTTTTACTCTCAAGCTACCTCTCTAACCACTAAGCCATGCTGCCTCTCAATGGATCAAAATTATAGTTTTACTCACAGAGAAAAAAAGTCTTATGCTTCCTAAATCTTCTCATCCTGCTTTTTTTTGTTGGCATTATAAGTGTTGTCAAAAGGCAACATTCTAAATTTTGTGACAGCTGGACAACACTACATCCTGTTCAATATTCCTAAGACTTGTGTTATTTTGGTTCACAGAATGCCAAATCTTGAAAGCACTTCCAAGTACTTTCCAATCTCCTCTTTTGGAAGCTGATATATTTTTGGCTGGTAAATGGGGTAGTGAGTTTGCACTGAAGCTTCTGGAGAAGAGATAATTAAATCTAGCTCCTTAGTCTAGAGGTGGGGGACTACCAGGGTTGAACAGTATATACACTGCCAGTCAAAGTTTATGTATCAAATGTTTTTGCTCAATTTTTGTCACAAGGGAAGGTTCAATCTGGAGTAGGCTGGGCAATGACTGGGATATAAAGACAAAAAGTATTATGAAACACATTTTGAAAAAGAGAAATGGGTGAGAAGGAACACAGAATAGAGGATAGAAGGCTGTTCTCAGAATCAACAAGACCTGAGTTCAGTCCTATCTCTGTGTGTCCCAGGGCAAGTCCTTTATCTCTTAGTGTAGCAGGCAACTTCCTAAGACTATAAATCAGAGACACTCATCTACATTGGTAGGATGCCAACAGATCATGAACATTAAAATGAAAGGAAGTCATTGATGAATTTTAAGCAAGGTGGTGAAAAGGTCAGACCTGCCAAAGAGATACCTTTGCTCAGTAATACTCCTAGTATCAATATCCAACAAGGAATATACTTGCCAAAGGTGGCCAGGGTCATGAAGGATGACTTATACAGAAAACATAAACTAATTGCCACAATCTGAAGTCCAAAATAGCCCCAAAATCACCTTAGCCAGTAAAAACTAGATCTCTCTGCCAAAAGGTGACAGAGACATGGTAGCCAAGGACAATATCAGTTTTGAATACAAACTTCTTTGCAAAACATTATGGAAGATTACAAGCAGCACTGTCTCACACAACAGCGAACAAGAAATGGAAAGGAAAACACACTTGCAGAAAACTCAGCTTAGAACCCCAATGAACCAGATCATTCCAAGAACCTCTCAATATGCAACACAATGATGTGAAACAGAAACAGATCTGACAGCATTTCCATTGCAATGACTTCTGACCATTTGTGACAGCTAAGCCATCATACTTGGACTCCAATACCTCAATACCCAGTATGCTCTGGGGAAATGGACATAGTAAAGTAGAGAATGAAAGTATGAAGAGTGTTTGGATCCGATTAAATAAAGACAGGAGGAAATTCATCCTGCAGGCAGCATAATTTTCAAGGAAACACTCAGGGAACAATTTTCAAGGTATCCCATAGGGGGAAAATTTCCAAATGAATGGGAAAGATCATGGATGACATTACTACCATAAAAAAGGTAATTTAGAAGATATCTCTGTCCGTATGTTCACTTTTTCATCTTTATAAAATCTTTACAAGAATAGTCTCTGCTTATATTGAGGGCATCCTTGAGGAAAACACTGGAAATGGAATAAGCAGGGTTTCACAAATAATTCTTTATAGTAGACTACATCTTCAGAGTCACTTAATTGACAGAGACGTAGAGAACATGAGATTCCGTGTCTATTGCCTGCATGTTTTAAAACAGCAGCTGATTTAGTGGAATAAGACACAACCCGAAATTTGCTCCTCTAATAAAGTGTCTCCTAGGCAGATGTTTTGATCAGACAAATTTCCTCAACAGATACAAAATACAGAGTTAATTTTGTTCAGTGCTCTCCTGATAATCGATCAAGCAAGGTACACACATATGAGAAAGGTGTTTGCACAGACCCTCTTCTGTGAAAATGACCAAGATACAGGTATTAAAGAAGGATTTCTTATATACAACCACATTCTCCAGAGTTTCCTGTTCATGAATGACATTATACTAACAGCATAAAATCCTGGAATACTCCAAGACCTTGCCCATGAGATACAAAACCACTCAAAAAGAGATAGGCCTGGGGAAGCTAGGTGGCGCAGTAGATAGAGCACCGGCCCTGAAGTCAGGAGGACCTGAGTTCAAATACGGCCTCAGACCAAACACTTGACACTTACTAGCTGTGTGACCCTGGGTAAGTCACTTGACTCCGATTGACTTAAAAAAAAAAAAAGAAAAAAGAGATAGGCCTAGCAATTCACATAGGAACAAACAAATGAATAACCACCACCGACATGCCGTTGGATGAGGAGCTCAAAGAGTTTGTCCATCAGTACAGAGCTCTTGGCTAGCAGGCACTGCAGACGGGTAGTGAATAGGGCACAGAACTGCAGAGGAGCAAGAGAGTAGGCTAGATGTCATTTGGGAAATTTCTCAGCACTTCCAAAGATTCCAACATGCTCTCTGTTGGAAAAACACATCTTTTTTATACTAATATTCTAGTAAAGCTATACAATTATAAATTATGTCACAAATTGCAGGTGACCCAAACACAATGGAAAAGCCATATGGTGGGTATAAGTAACTAGAAACCTATCAATTATGATCTGTGTATGAGATGTAGGATAAATGACATCAACCAGGACATGTATGAATGAGGAAAAAAATTGTTGTGTAGTAAGAATGACGGTTAACATGTAGACAGCTCGAGTATTCAGTGGTACAAAATAACAGCTAGCATTTATATAGTGTTTTAAGGTTTGCAAAGCACTTTATGTTATGTTATCTCATTTGCTCCTCATAATAACCTTGTTGCTGTTATTACCTATATTTTAAAATGAGGAAACAGGTTAGATGATTTGCCACACAGTGAGAAAGTGTTTGAAGCTGGATTTGGACTCAGGTCTTCTAGACTGTAGATCCAGGGCTCTATTAAAATATCAAAGGGTGCCCAAAGAAGGTCTCTAGCATTCTGAGTAGATTTCCTAAGAAAGATTTATGGAAAGACATGATGAAGAATTGCTGGAAGAATTGCACAGACGGATCTCAAGCAACACTGGTAGGTGAGGGATACACTGAAATAACCTTTCTAATGCCACTTTCACATCTGGATATACTTCAGTGAAGATAACTACACCCAGTCTGAGTAAACAGTGCTCATTTTTGGCAAGTTACAAAACAGACAACTCTTACAATGAAATACTTAAATTTACAGGGATAAAGGGAGTAGATCAACGATTCCCTTAGTATGCTTTATCTAACACTGAGGTATTGGAAGAGATTTTTGAATTGGAGACCTACTGTTCTCAAAGTCTTGACTGTTTTGGGTGTCTCTCCAATCAATCACCGAAATCAGGGAGCATTTATCTACTAGATATATCTGTGAGACTTGTCAAACTAACATTACAATACAGATATCCTCAATCCAGGCCCTATCTTAGGAGACCAACCGGTTTCTACACCTGTAGAGCTACTGTAAAACAGACCTATCCTCCCAATCCTTGACTTATAAGCAGGAAAAAAACAAAACAAAACAATACCCAAATCTTCTAACTGCTTATCAGAACAGCAGAGAATGTAACAATTTCATATAAGGTGATGAGGCTGTGATAGTCACCTTCAAGTCCCATGAGGCTATTTGCCTAATAAGGCCCAAGATGGATGCCTGACCCTTTCCCCTATTCCCTAGGCACCACCCTGGGGAGAAGTCCAGTCCATGTCCCCATCCTCTGGTTTTAGTGGATATTTTTCCTATATTTGACAGGGCTAATACTGGCAGCAAGCAATATTTTCCTTGGGATGAAACTTTTTTCCTTGGGACTATATCTCAGAAGTGATAAAACAGCTGAATGGGAAAATATGATTGCTTCTACATAAATTTGTTTACAAATTTCCTGGAATATGGTTCTTCTGCCAAGTCAGATGACCTGTGTACACAACAGAAATCTGTGAAGAACCTAAAATGTTTTAGTAAAACAAGAGTATGTTTCTTTTGGATGAAGCAATGTTTTATCTTTATACTTCTAGTAATTATCTATAAATAGAACATGATGGTCCAGTGAGGTGCACATTTCTAGGTAGTTTTGTTTTAGAGAAAACACTGAAATACAACAGTATAAAAAGTCAAGTTATTCTTTTTACATTCAAACATGCACAGAAAGTTACCATCTGAAGTCTTCTTTAACTCAGTTTTCAGTTTTTCCACATTTTCCATTAGTTTTTTATTTTCTGTATCTGTCATCTGTTCATCTCCCTTGCCAGTTTTCTCCAATGCCTATTACAAAATAATTTTGTAAGAAATTAATGTTCACTGGAATTATGGTGATTTTTTTCTCTCCAGGGAAATGGACATTGGGCAGACTACCTGAGTAGATCCATTTTAAATTACTGGCTACAATCTAGCTGAAGCATCCTGAAATGAGAAAGGTGAGTCTTTATCAAATTAAATTCCATCTTCAAAGGGAATATGAAGATGAAAAATCTGAATCCAAAACATTAGGTGACTAACACTATTAAAGAAACAATTCTTTTGTGCCTTGCACAAAGTAGCAGGTACTAATGTTTAGCTGCTCAATTATCTAGCTAATGTTACTAGTAGTTCTAATAAAAGTATATAATCATGACCTTTAAGTAAACAAATGGTAACAGAAAGCCCTTCTATACTGAACTACTTTTACACGTGGCATTTGGAAAACTCTGACTAAATCTTATGTGAATGTCCTAAATTATTTTTACTCAATATTAGCATTAGCAGTTCAAATCGTGTTAAAAAAATTAAAATGAGAGTCCTCAAGATAATAATTTCTCTTAATTTAATTAATCTAAGACAGGAAAAAGGAATCAGGTTAAATAACTTCAAAGTTAAAACATCTGACTGAAGCAACAAAATTAAACAAAACAAAAACAAAAAAGGTAACACACAAAAAGCATGGGGCCAAGGCTCACAACCTCTATATCTGAATAGAAAGTATTAGAAGTACAGATATGAAAATCTGACCTATTTTTTTTTTTTGGTGAGGCTACTGGGGTTAAGTGACTTGCCCAGGGTCACACAGCTAGTAAGTGTTAAGTGTCTGAGGCCGGATTTGACCCCCTAGCTGCCCCCTAGCCTATTTCTTACAGGAGATATACCAATGTAATTTCAAGGTTACCAAAAGATGATAAAGCAAAGTTATTACATAAGAAATGAAATAACAAAATGCTAAGATACATTGCTCACATAAAAGAAAGTGCAGTCAACTTGACAATGCTATCTCACATAGAATAATATAGTCTGGCAGAGTAAATGGCCATTAATTGGGCTAAACAAATTGTGGTATATCAGTGTAGTGGAATTATTACTGTGGTTCAAGAAGTGATGGGTATGATACATACAAAGACATGTAAAGACTGAGACAAAAAAGCCAAAATATATAATGATTTCAACAACAGAAACAAGAATGCTGCAGAATTGCAAACAAGACTGATTTTAAAGAAGAGATATGAAAAGATACTTCTATCCCACCCTTTTATAAATTGGGACACTGCATAGATTTTCAGACTTTTTCAACATATTTATCAGTTTTGCAGATTTTCTCTCTCTTTTTTTTTTTCTTTAAAAATATCTGTTATATGGACGGCTCTCTGGCAGGGGAAGAGGAAGAGATAATGGGGAAAATTTTAGTGATGCAAAAAAACTAGAAAAGATCATCAATACAATTAATTTTTTAAAAATTTAAAGCACAATATGGTTTGTGGAGGTGGTCCAGGAGAGGTGCAAACCATGCCAAACTGTACAAAATAATTTCCAATAGACTGCAAGTAATTACAAGGTTGAGAACTTCCTTTTCTACCCCAAGCAGATCCAGCTATAAAAAGCTAAGTTCACAGAGAAAAAGGAAAGTCCTAATGAACCTCCATGTGTACCTTACAAATCTTATCAGAGAAAACAGGTTCTTATATTTCAACTGCTATGTGAGGGATTTTCCTATCCTGGCAGATTATTTTCGTTTTAAGAAGAATTGGAGGGGCAGTTAGGTGGCGCAGTAGATAGAGCTCCAATTTTGGAGTCAGGAGGACTTGAGTTCAAATACTAGCTGTGTGACCCTGGGCAAGTCACTTGACCTCATTACCTAGCCAAAAAGAAAAAAAGAGAGAGAAGAGTTGGTAAAATCTTCTGGTTGTTATTTCCTTATCTAAGCATAGGGGGTGGGGGGCAAGGAGGGATCACTGAGCTATTGGAATGTTTGTATTGGTCTTACTAGCATCGTTATGTCATTTACTTAGAAATACTGGGAATTGCATCAGTTTTATAAATAAGAGCTGGGATTTTTCACTATTGTACCTACTTGACCTAACCTAACTCAAGGAGAAAGGGTGCCCATTATGTGTTATCTGGGTACCATTGAATTTGATGCTGGATATAGGTCAGTCTGCAGTCTTAAAAATTAACATACATAAGTAAAAGGGCAAACTTTTATTTTTCCATTCACTTGGTCCTCAATTAGTCTTAGGATCAAAATATAGCAAAACTGAAAGCCCCTGACCCCACCCCAACCTGAAAACAGTTAAACGCAAAGGCTGACCTTTATTCATATCTCTTCACGATTCACAGAATTTTAGAGCAAGAGCTCTTAGAGAACATTTGCCCTGAATGTTCATATGATAACAGATTCTAAAGCAAGAAAGTATCTTAGAGATTACCTAGTCCAGTGCCTTCAGTCTGCAGGTGAGGAACCTGAGGCACTTTCCCAAAGTCACAGAGCTACCAAGTGCCAAAGGAACAACGAAAACGAAAATGATCTAGGATTATGGGGCTCTACATTTCACCCAAAATTAATAAGTTGTGAATTTTAATTCTTCATCTTCAAATAAGAAAAATATACACTTTGGGAACAATTTAGTACACAAAGCTATTTTGTCCAATTCATGTCTCTGCTGGGGAACATAATTTAGTCCACAAACAGCACTGACTGAATAACAGTGGCAGGGTGGGAAAGGCCACTGGACAGTGGAACACATGCCACTATGAGGCTATCTGCAACAGCACATCAGTATATGAGTAGAGTACTTGATTATGGTATGGGCCCACAAACTCCAACTAACTCAGCTTAGGGTGGGTAGACTGCTTAATTCCTTTTATTATTTGTTGCTTTATTATTATCCATCATATTCAGTGATTGAAGAGGGAAATGACATTAATAACAGACTTCATCAACTTTTTAAATTTTGAGAACCCTTTTGTGATATGAACAGATCTCACACGACTGTAAGCAGTTGCATCATTATTTGCTGTTTATGAAAATTCATAATGAAAAGTTACTATGAATTCAGTAAACACTTTTTAATGGATTTGTATCTTATTATTCTCAATATCTATCGATATTTGACAGTAACAAATTAATGTGTGAAACATATTTACCCAGCCTCAAAAGGTATGTTTCTTTATTTATGGGTTTTGAATATAAATTCATACTACCCCTAGCACAATTACCCACAGTCCCCCAGGGGCTGGATCCCACAGACAGAGAAACACTGGTACAGTGCATAATTTTCTGCCTGAGCTAATCTAGCTCAAGGAGAAACAGTGAGAACAAACTAATACAAAGGGAGGGCCCAAGAGCTTGGGAGAGAAAATAGTATAAGACAATTTTATTTTTCAGACACTTCTTACTAATGATTTTTGAGGAAATGGACCTATAATTTCAGAAGTATGGCACATTCCTAGTGTGAAAGCTTCTTTTACCAATGCATAACAACAACTCATCTATAAATGAGAGGTTAAATGATCTGCCCTTGGTACCACTCAACCATATATCAGAGGCAAGATTTGCATTCAGGTCCTTCTGCCTTCTAGGCCAGTTTCCTACTGACTATGCCACATTGCCTCTCATTAATAAATCAGAAAAAGAAACAAATTATTCTTTTTTGCTGACAAAAAAAAAATTCCTGAACACACCTTGGAAACATTCAGTTTTTTACAAAGTGGATTCGCCATAAGTCATTGGGGGGATGTGAGGGATGATGAAAAAAGAATAATAAATACCTGTTTTAGCCTTTCATTCTCTTCCATATATTTTTTGGCAGCCTCATTGTTACTGTCTGCTTGAATTTTCAGCACTCCTTTGATTCCCAACTCTTTGGCCAGTTGAGTAATGAGGGTAACCAGACGTCGCAATACACTAAGAAAAATTCAAGTAATTGCAGTCTCATAATTGGGACAAATACTTGTCCTGCGAGTCATATGCAGAGAAAGAAATTGTTGAAATTGAAGAAATTGTTACTTTTGATATAAATATTTGCACACTAATAAAAGTGGCTTTTATTACACAACTAGAAACATTCTGAAACCCCAAAGTACAAGGAAAAAAGGGTGGGAAAGAAAGGAGGATAAACTCTCAGAGGGCTTACAACAATGCCAACAGAAAAATCTATCTATTTATCTATCAATCAATCAACTTGCTCCTTGATACACTTTTAAAAAGGAAGATTACATATAGTTGTAACACAGTTCTGTGATTATTAATAGTGCCCAGAAGTTTTGCTAGCAGGTTATAATACTATAGAGTGCTTACGGGCCAACAACCAGCTAGAACTCAGTATTTATGTAGCATGTGGCCAGGGGCAAATTTCTGACTCAGTTCTCCTTTCTTTTATACTTCTTCTTTCCTTTTAGTACCTTCTCTTTCAGGCTCCCTCATATGTTCCCATATTTCCCTTTCCCTCTCCCCAGCCCCTACCTTGATCAGACCCATTCTTTTGAGCATTATCCCAACTTACTCTTCCTTCAGTTTTATATGTGACAAGGAGGTGGTCCCTCCCTTCACAAAGATGATCCCACTAAAAGTATTCTTGATCTCACCCCCATTCTGTATTCTTCAGCAGACTGTCCTCTCAATTACTCCACTTTTTCTAAACTTCAACTTCTTCTTGTATACTGGTTCCTTTCCTGGTACCTTTGAAAATGCTTCAGTCTCACCAATCCTTAAAAAATTTCCATTTGACCTCATTATCTCTGCAAGGCTTCATCCTGTCTTTCTCTTCCCTTTCTCAGCCAAATTCTTGAAAATTGCTGTTTACACTTGCTGCCTTCACTTCCCCTCCTCACTCACTCCTCAACTCTTTGCAATTTCACCACTAAAATGAAACTGCTCTTTCCAAAGTCACCAGTGAGATGAGCTTTTCTCATTTCTCATCGTTCTTGAACTTTCTGCTGCATATGACATTGCTGACCCCCCCCCCCAAATACTTTCCTCTGCTTCTCCTCTTCCCTGTGTGACTAATGCTTCTCAATCTCCCAATGGTAATCTCATCAGCTCCCATGGGTTTAATTACCATCTCTATGCAGAAGACTACTGAATCTATATAACTAGTCTTAGGCTTTCTCTTGGGCTCCAGTACTACTTTACCAAATCACTATTTCAAAACTATTTCAAATTGGAAGTCCCATAGGCATTACGGTTTTCCTAAAACCCATGCTTTTTATGAACTTCCCTATTTCTGTTGAGTTATTGTCATTTTTCTAAGCTCTCATGTTCACAACACTGGCATTATCTTCATCTCCTCATTCGTACTCATCTTATATATTCAATCATGGTGGTCAGATCTTATCATTTCTTTCTTTGTATCATTGCTCATGTCACCCACTTCTCATCACTCAGAACAGCTACCACCTTAGGTTTAGTGCCTCATTACCTCTCACTCTTCCTAATTGGTCTCTGCCTCAAATCTCTCCTCCAGAGAGCTACAAAAGTCTATTCCTTAAGTACAGATCTGACAATATCAAATCCTCTTCTACCCCACCCTGGGGGGGGGCAATAAACTTCACTGGCTCCTAATAGCCTTTAGAATAAACTACAAATTCCTCAGTTTCACTTTTAAAGCCCTTCACAACCAGGCCCCAATTTATTATAAATGATTCCCCTTCCTACACTCTATGGTCCAGCCAAACTGATTTTCTAGCTATTTTTCTCACATGGCTCCCCCTTCCCCAACTCTATGCCTCTGTATTAGGCATTACCCTCGACTGCCTTCCTGCCTCACCCCCCCCCCCCCCCCCGCCTCTTAGAAGCCTTTCCTTCCTTCAAGACTCAGCTAAAGTACCATCTTCTACATTAAGCCTCTTTTTATCCTCCCAACTTCTGGTGATCTTTCTCTCCAAACTACCTTGTATTTATTCTGTATGCATTTTTACATATGTACATTCTATCTCCTCTGAGAGAGTATAAAATCCTTGAGAGAACGGATTGGTTCATTTCAGTCTTTGTATACCTAAAGCCTAGTGAAGTGCCTAGATTATAGTTAGTACTTATAAATGCTTGTTAATTGATGGATATGGATAATGCCCACATCCCCGGCCCCATTAGCATCCCATCACAACTCATCTGTCTAGTATCTCATTACTGCAAGTTATATTAAGTGACCAGCAAGTCAAGCTGTGCTGCTAATAGGTGATAAAAACTTCACCTATTATCTCTCAGATAACATCTGTATTTCAGTAGTGCTCTAAAGCACATGAAATCAAAAACAATGTAGATTGGGGGAATTTCAGGTAGTGCCACAGAGCCAGTGAAGGCTGCTTCTTGGGACACACTTGAGAAGGTAGCCCCATGCTGCGTGGACTGGCTTTTCACTTAAGGAAGCTTCCTCTACAGATGCTGTAACCTTGGTCCTGGTGCAGCCAGCCACACCTACTCAATGAAGACATCTGGAATTTTAGGAACCAAGAACAATGGCTAGGAATCCAATTCTTAATTCAGTACATATATTCTGCAATTTACGTATGGCGGTGGATTTCTTTGGTGAAGCCACAGTGTGACAAAGAATGGTTTAATGGGAAGATGGGAAAAACTACTGGGTTTTTTTGGGGGGCAGTTCTTTTTAAAGTGTGCCTTTTACTTACAGCCAGAGAAATAAGGAGAATCCAGAAATGTAAAGGTTCCTTTGTGCTCTAAACAGTTTCATCTGTACATGTTCATAAGCACTGGGATTGCTACTTGAACTCTTTTCAGGCCCATGACTGATAGAGTACTTCCTCACTTCTCTCATAGCATCTACAAAAGAAAAAAATTTGTTGCTTTACACAAAGATAAAAAATTCAAAAATGTCTTAGATTTATTCACCATTTTATTTGGGAGTCTGTAGAGCTTATAAAGCTCTTGGAGGGTAGGAATTGCACTGTCTCATTTTTCTCTCTATCATAACTTCCAAGTGCCATATGCTCAACAGATGCTAGGGGAATGACTTTTGGTGTCATTTGAATGCCAAAGCACTTAACGGCCTGCACCGCTCATTTGTCACTTCTATTTACTATCTGACATTGTTTGGCATCTTTTAATATGACTGGGTTCTGTTTCCCCATACAAATAACTTCCAAAGTATCAGAGGACCCTAACACCAAAAAGAGAACAGGTTTCATCTAAATAAAAAAACATGGGGTGGCATCATCTGTTTTGGCTTACCTTTAAGTCTGAATTAAACATTTAAACTCTATATTAATAAAGTTCTCTTACTCAGGTCAATTGTGATTTCAGAGGACTGATGATGATGATGATGCATGCCACCCACCTCCTTGAGAGAAAGGTGATGGACTCAAGGTACAGAATAAGACATCTATTTTTCAGATATGCCCAATACAAGAATTTGTTTTGCTTGATTATGCATATCTGTTCTAAGGTTTTCTTTTACTATTTTTAAAAAAATTTTTGCATCTGTGTTTAATCTTTTTAAAAATTTTTATTTATTTATTTTTTAGGCAATTGGGGTTAAGTGACTTGCCCAGGGTCACACAGCTAGTAAGTGTCAAGTGTTTAGTCTGAGGTTGGATTTGAACTCAGGTCCTCCTGACTTCAGGGTAGTGCTCTTTCCACTGTGCCACCTAGCTGTCCCTTTTATTTTACTTTTTAAAAAATTGGTGGGAAAAATAGGTGGAAGAAAAAAAAATAGATTTGTATTAGCTGAAAAAGTTAAATTTGAAAAAAGAGAAAAGTTCTCTCTTATAGTTACGTTGTCTTTTGCTCACAGATCCATATTTCTAGATAGTATGGTGCAGCAAAAAGAGCACTGGCTATAGAGTTGTGAAATATGTACTGGGTTTTAGTTCTGGTTCTGCTATTAACTAGTGAAGTGATTCTGGACAAGTCAGTACTCTAAACTCTCTTAGTCCTCATTTCATCAGTCTCTAAAAAATATAACATCAGACTATTTGCTCTCCACGGTCCTTCTCATCTTTAACATCTGGTAGTTTAAGTTTCTTTTGCAGAAACTGATAAAGGATAACCTGCTCAGACACTGAGTACCTCATAACCACATACCACATAAAGTACTCAAGAAAATTTAGCTCTAAATCAAGGTTTGCCCTTGACCTTGAAATAGACAAAGCAATGGAGGCACGTGACCTACACTTTATTTTTGTGGTTCCTACGACTATAACCTATCAGAAAACTCATCTTGTCTCAATAAAACGACAACGTATTGTCTTCCTACATATTGTCACCCCTCCCAAAATAAACAAGATCACAGAGTTAGAGCAATAATAATGATGATAATAGCTTACACACAACACTCTAAGGTTTACAAAGTTCTTTGACATATTATGTGTAAAGCATTTTATCAACTATAAGTAACTATATAAATGTCATGATTGCAATCATGATTATGAACATAATTGTCATTATCTTGTTTGTTATCTAGTCCAACCCCTTCATTTTACAGGTGAGAAAACTGAGGCCCAGAGAATTTTAGTGATTTGTCCAGTGTCACACAGGTAGTAAGTGGCAAGTCTGAGGCTTGAAAGTATATGACCTTTTTCAGCTTATCAAAAGACAGAACAGTCTCTAATTTACAAACGTCTTGTACTCCAAATATTTATTTTTAAGTTTGGAACAGAAATTACATCCTATATAAACAAGACCATAAAATGGTTTGGTTCCTAGGCTAGCCTACAAAAACTTATCAACCTATAATGTAAAGCTTATTTAAGCTATAAAATACAAACATTTTCAATTTTTTAAAAAAAAAAGCACAAAAGAATACAGTTGCAAATGTTTGTAATATTTCAGCGACCCAATGGAATTCAATAGACTTTTGTGAGCCAATCTGGGCGTCGAAAGACTATTTTATACCATGATACTGCTTCTGTAGGGAAAAAGTGTTCGAATATATACGGTAAATGGGAAGGAAGGAACCCATGTGTGCCAAAAGCATGCCAATAACTAGCTGTGTTCCTTTGGGCCTCAGTTTTCTCATTTGCACAATGAGAGGTCTGAAACAGAAGATTCAACTCGATGAAATCTACGACTCCCCTGTCCCGTCCCCCCCGCCAGATGCTATAGGCACGATTAGGACTTAATACAACAGTTGAAGAAACATTCATAAATCAAAGACATGCTTGACTCTTAAAATCTAAACGCATGACCCATCTTTAAATTTTAAACTGAAAAAACAAAACAAAAATTGCTAGAACCCTTTATATACATCCACAGGAGAAAGGTACTACTCACCAAGAAACAGAACAATCAACAGGACAATAATTGTAAGGAATGCCTTGTTCCAGTAAGTTGCGATTTTACCCCAGAGTGGGAACGTGAAAATCTTCTGCCATCTAGATAGAACACAATAGCAACAGCAGTACATTAGGGGAAGGAGAGGGGTTGTGGTGGGGTGGTAGCTAAAATTTCAAATTAATCAATGAAGAAATCAGAACCACAGTAGGGTCTAACTTCTGTCACCACCCACTGGGAGCTACATGAGAAGACCCAGGTTCAAATCCTGACTCTGCTACTCATTAGTTATGTGATCTTGAGGCAAGTCACTTCTCTGTAAGCCTCACTTTCCTTACCTAAAAAATGAGCAGAGTAAGCTATGTGATCTTTTGGGTCCCTTCCAGCTCTAAAACTGTGACCCTATGTAAGAATGCCCCATAAAGTAGTTATTTCAGTTTAACAAAAACACCTTAATAGTCTCATGCTCAAATTGTGAAATCCTACAAATTCACATCTAGCCTCTACAGGACCTTCCCTGATGTACAGCAATCATTTTACTCATCTCCTATTGACCAATACATTTGGTTGATGTCACAAGCCCTGAACTCTATCTGTAGCCTCCCTCTTTTAGCAAATGACTTCACCTCCTGAGAAAATTGAGGTCACCCTAATTGAGCTCTTTAATCTCTTACACTTCACACCTCAAAAACTTTCATTCCCTCCTTCCTTCCACTTAGGTTAAATCCCTATCACACTCTACTGCAGCTGCTCCAAAACTTCTCTTATTTCCTTAAGCCCTTAAATCCACACTCCGATTCTTTCTCAACAGACATCTGCCTCCTGATTCAATTGAGGCCATCTATTAGGAGCCCCTTACCTCCTAGGAACTATATTAAAAATCTCTGTCCTTGCCAAGGCTAAACCTCCGCCCACTCCCTACCCCCACACACACTGTTAATCCCATTGTCCCTGAGCTTACTCCATTTATCACTTCTTGTTGTTTGTCCTTTGGTTCTCAAAGAGGACCATGACATCAGGAAGATGATGCCATGACTTGCAAATGAATTGGATTTAAGTGAGGCAGGGCTGTGCAAGGTCACCAGCCTCACTTTCTCTTCTGCAGCCATATGGGTCCAGTGGCCAGATATAGATCAGAACAACTGGAGATGGCTCCAGATGCAATGGGAGGGTTTGGCCCTTTTAAGCTAAGGTCTTTCTGAGTTCTCACTTTGACTGAGGCAATGCCCATTAAGTGATTAAGGCTAGTTCACTTCTAGCCCTATATCACACCCCTACACACCTTCAAGCTCTCCTTATCTTCCTCTTCCCTTCCTATAATCTCCACCAGACTGCTCAGATTTCCCCCAAATAAACAAAAGCCTTCTGCTCTGATCACTGCTTGCTGATTGGCTTCTATTCTCTTTAGGTAACATGCTATCGTCTTCAATGTACTGGTGGTACAGTGGCTAGAGTGAGTTAAGGAAGACTCATCTTCTTGGGTTCAAATCTGGCCTCAGACACTGTAGCTGTATGACCCTAAACAAATTATTTAACCCTATTCCCTTCAGTTTCCTCATCTGTAAAATGAGATGGAGAAGGAAACGGTGAACCACTCTACTATCTGCCACGAAAACCCCAAACGGGGCCACGAAGACTTGGACATGACTGAACAACAACAAAAAGTAGTCTATACTTACCATCTCCACTACTTTACTGTCCATTCACTCCTTAACCTCTTGCAATCTGGCTTCTGACCCAATCATTCTATTGAAACTGCTGTCTCAAAGTTTACCAGTAACTCTAATTGCCATTTTTTCAGTCCTCACCACCCCTGACCTTCATGTAGTATCTTTCAGGGCCGAGACTGAATCTTCCCCACTCTTAAAAAAACTTTCTCTTGACATCTCTGCAAGCCATCATCGGATATCTCGCATCCCTTTCTCAGCCAAACTCTTCGAAAAAGCTTTTAACACTCACTTCCTTTCCTCTCTCTCACTCAACAGCCCTTTGCAATCTGGCTTCCCACCACAACACTCAAATGAAATTGCTCTTTTCAGAGTTACTGATGATCTCTTAACTGTCAAATGACAATAGTCCTTCCCTAGTCCTTCTCTTTCTTAACTTCTCTGCTATATCAGACATTGCTAACCATCCTGTCCTTTTGTATACTCTCTCTTCTCTGGGTTTTCATGACACTAGTCTATATAGATATTAACAGATAGGTAGATAAATCTATATCTAGCCCTAGTCTCACCCTTGTGTTTCAGACCCACATTACCTATTAGACATTTCAAACTCCACAAGTTCAAAACAGGACTAATTTCTTCCAACCCCACCCCCACCCCCACTCCAAACTTCCCTATTTCTGTTGAAGACACTCACATCCTTCTAGTGTCCCAGGTCTGTAACTTCAGCGTTATTCTGCCTAATCCTGACAATTCTACCTCCCTGACATATCTCAGATCCAAGCCCTTCTCTCTATTCATATAGCTACTACCTTGGGTCACGCTTCACCTAGACTACTCCAATACCTTCCTAATTGGTCTCCCTGCCTCAAATCTCTCATAGGAGCACATTCCTGCCAAAGACATTTTCTTTGAGCACACACCAAGCCATGTAACTCTCCCACATCCATTGGCTTCTTATTGCTTTTAGAATTATGTATAAAAATCCTGTCTAGCTTTTAAAGCCCTTGAAACCCTGGCCCCAACCTAATTTCTGAGCCTCGTTGTTCATTCCCTCCCCTCTCACTCACCTATCCAGACAAACTGGTCTTTTCTCTATTTCTTGCACACAACACTCTTATCTCCCCAACCCATGATTGTACTCCCTTCTTACCTCCACCTACTTCACAGAGCCTTTTCTTTCTTTAAAATAGCTCAAAGACCATCTTCTACACCTTTCCTGATTTCCTCATTTGCTAGTGCTCTCTCTTCCAAACTGTCTTATATTTAATTCCTTTGTATATACCCGTATTAATTTATTTCCATATGTTTGTTGGGTCTCCCATTAGAACATAAACTCCTTCTGGTAAGAGCTCTTTCCTTCTTTGGACTTCTATCCCTGGTGCCTGGCACATAGTAGATTCTTTAAAAAATACTTGTTAATGAATCTGTTGATTGAATGGCCATTCCCACACTCCCCTTTCCTTTATATTTTTTGAGTTCTGTCATACTGCTCTTTCCTGGTTCTCCTGTATAGTGAGTATAGTGGAACACTGATCTGCGTTCAAATCCTGTTATGGGTTTAACTTCCTTCTTGGTCTCTGACAGTTCATATTCTTCCTGTTCCAGCCGTAGTCTAACTGCAGTAAACAACTCTGAAATGTAAGAGTCACTAGTCTAGTAACTAGACTCTAGTTTGAGAACTTTCCAGGGGGCAAAGCTCCATATACTTAATTTGGTCTATCTGGTTTCTAATGCCTAGTGTTAAGCTAGTGTCCTGAGTCCTACCAGGTTTTCCCGTTATTAACTTTTTAAAACATCCTCTCTTAAAGTGTTCTCTCAATGCAAAGACCTAATTGCTAGTTTAATTTCTTCAAAAAGCTTAATCAACATCAAGTACTTATATTTTTATAGCACAGAGCCTACTTTGCACACTAGTGGAACCAAAGAGACAAAGAAAATACAGCAGAGAGAGGCAGGAAGCCGTCCACATTGGACATTCTAAATGCATCTCCAACTGAAGAACTAGCTGTCCTAGGCCCAAGTAGGCTTAAACAACTACAATTCAAATACACCTGTAGGACTGGGAATCAGCAAAGTGTGTATTCCAATTCATCCTCAGATGCTTACTGTGTGACTGCAGGCAAATCCAACCCCTCTCAGCCTCAGTTTCCTCCTCTGTAAAGTGAAGATAGAGTAATAATAGCACCTATCTCACAGAATTATGAGGAGCACTATATGTGATTATGTGTATACAACATCTGGTAGATTTTAAAGTGCTATTTAGTCAGCTCTTAGGTCTCTATAAGGTTGGGTGGACCTCCTTTTGGGAGGATGGGACAAGAGTTGCACAAGATGGGGTAGGCACGTACTGGACGTCATTTGCATTGTTGAAGAGATACCCAACTCGATGAGATCATAGATCCATTTGAGCATCAAAGACAGCTAGGTGGCTCAGTAGGTAGAGCAGTGGACCTGGAGTCAGGAAGGCCTGAGTTCAAATCTGGCCTCAGATATTTGCTAGCTGTGTGACCCTGGGCAGGTCACTTTACCTCTGTCTGCTTTACGATCCTCATCTCTAAAGTGGGGTTTATAAAAATAGCACCTACCTCCCAGGGTTCATGTGAGGATCAAATGAGATAATATTTGGAAAGTGCTTAAAGTTCTATATGAGCGCTAGATTATTATTATCTGATTACAGAGCAATGAGTGAGTACATACTTCATTTTTGGAGATAATTTATGCCATTTTTTCCTGCCTAGCATCTACTTACAAGTATTTCATTTTAAAAGCATGTAAATCTTTTCCTGTATATATATGTCCCCAGAAAAGCTTCATGAAAAATTTTCCAAAAACTGGAAAAGAGAAACGAGGCAACTGGTGCTGACAAGAGTGGAGAATTCACCTTGGCAAAACCAGGACTTGTGTCTCTCTATTTTCTGTTTGAGCAAAAGCTAAAATTTGAATCCTCAGTATTCTATTCAGAAATTGACCATAGCAGTCTATTTCTAAAATGGGGGTTATATCTTAGCTTAGGACCAAAATTAACACAAAGAGATGCAACAGCCAGAATATCAGTTTCCTCATCTGTAAAATGGGGACCATAATAGTACCTACCTCCCAGACTTGTTGTGAGGACCAAAGGAGATATCTGTAAAGCACTTAGCCCAGTGCTTGGCACATAGTAGAAACTTAGTGAATACTGGTTTCCTTCCTTCCTTCTTACTTTCTCCCCCAACACAAATATAGTATACTATTATTCCAACTATCAACAAATATTAAACATAGACATTTTGAAGATGTGAAAATAAAATCAACTCAAGGTATGGATTGTAATAAATGGGCAAGAATCCTAGGTTCCGGTTTTGGCCTCACCACTTCTATAAACCTGTTGTTCCTAAGTCATTTTAACTTCTTGGGCACTCAGTTACTTCATTTTTAAAATGAGGGGGGTTAAGGCAGATGACTTTTGAATTCCAAAAAATGTTATGATTCATTTCTTCCCTTACTATGGAAAAGATCTGAAAGCTGGTTAAGTCAGCATACAGGAACCTTGGGCTCCAGGAATCAGTCAAACAACAGCAAAAGCACTCTGAAGACTGAAGAACTGGGACAAGGCCCAGCCCCAGCATTCACCAAATCGCTTTCTGCCCCAGCTACCTCAAAATAAGAAGAGACTACTATCCTCCTCTGTACTTTTTGTTCCAGGGGCTCCCTCTCATTTCCATACCTTCGCTCATGTTGTTCCCTATGCCAGTAATGCCCACCCTGACCATTCTCAGCTGCTGAATGTCTTGTTGCTGAGTCATTTCAGTCATGTCTAACTCTTTGTGACCCCATTTGGGATTTTCTTAGCAAAGATACTGGAGTGGTCTGCCATTTCTTTCTCTAGTTCATTTTACAGATGAGGCATGAAATCTGACCCATAAACCCCAAAATATCTTAAACCCAAATTACTCTGGCTCTCATTGACTGGCCCACAATAGGTCCCAGCCCAAGCCTCCCTTGGTCATTGTTTGGGCCCCGATGGCTCAGAATGAGTATAAACAGCAAATGTTTCTGTTTTGGCCAAAAACCCTGAGAGCACTCCCTCCCAGAATGATTTTTTTTAAAAAGAATATTAAGAAGTCATTCTTTGCTCCATTTCTTACCTAGACTTCATCTTTTTTTTTTTTGCTTTTAGGCAACTGGGGTTAAGTGACTTGCCCAGGGTCACACAGCTAGTTAAGTGTCAAGTGTTTGGTCTGAGGCCACATTTGAACTCAGGTCCTTCTGACTTCTGGGCCTGTGCTCTATCCACTGCGCCACCTAGCTACCCCCCCCCCCAAATCACTGAATGGGCATTGCTTCAGTCAAAATGAAACCTGGGGAAAGACCTTAATTTAAAAAGATCAAAGTCTCTTACTGCATCCAGGGCCATCTCCAGTTGTTCTGATCTACATCTTGCCACTGGACTCAGATGGCTCCAGAAGACAGAGTGAGGCTGGTGACTTTGCACAGCTCTCCTCACTTAAATCCAATTCACTTGCAAGTCATGGCATCAAAGGATAAACAACAGATGAGAAAACTGAGGCAAACAGGGGTAAGGGACTTGCCCAAGGTCACATAGCTAGTGACTGAGGCCACATCTGAACTCTGGAAGATGAGTCTTTCTGACTCCAAGCCCAGTAATCAATATCCACTGTGCCACCCAGCTGCCCCAACGAATGCTTACCTATCCCTTAAAGCTCAACTCAAATGCTATTTCCTCTAGGAAGTCTTCCTTAACATTAAAAGGAAACATTGATCAGATTAATAAATGCTTTATTTTTTCAATCATTAATTCAAGAATTCATTCAATTGAAGGGATGTCACATTGAAGAAAGATTAAACTTGTTTTCCTTGGCTTCAGAGGGCAGACTGAGTTCTAAAAGTCCTAACACCAATGAGCAATTTGTCAAAAGGCAAACTTAGGTTTGTTTTCAAGAAAATCTTCCTCACAATTATAACTAATGAAAAATGGAATAGGCTATCTGTGGAGGCAATGAAGGTCTCCATGAAAAGGCAACATGACCACTGGCTGGGTATGTTGCAGATGGGATTCTCATTTAGTTACAGGTTAGACTGGACCTCTGAGACCCCCTCCACCTGAGATTCCATGATCCTACTGGTTGGTAATGACCTTGCCCTTCAGACTTCACATTATGATGCTTTGTTTTCCATTTCTTTCATTTAACATGTAGTATTCTGTACAACAGTGATCTGTGTTTTTGTCTTATTCCCCTCCTAGACTGTAACCTTCCTGAGGACACATAGCCCTGTAAAAGGTAGGCATTTGTAAATGTCTATTGTTGCTGGCTGCAATCACAGTAATTGCTAACTTTTTGTTTTAAATTGTATGTAGATATTTGAAACGATACTGCACTAGAGAACAGCAGAATCAGTAATGCAGTTTTAATTTGTTAACTTGATCTGAATGATGTTTTCTCTTTGGCCGTAGCAACCCAAGTATGAAGAAGATATCTATGTCTTTATATTTTAGGAACAGACCCTGCTTGAAGACTAGGAGGCAAGCCAAGTTATGTCCTGAGGTCTCTTAGTTTTTAATATGATGCCTATATTATTGTATTTGTGAAAGAATAACAGGAGTATATATAAAACCTACTTATGTAATTTTCACCAAATGTTTCATCATTCACGTTGTCATGCTTTTTGATCTACAAGTGACTAACTCATAAAGAGTTATCACTTAGATCAGAGCACTTCAGGGGCTGGAACAAAGTACTTCATCAGCCTATAATATGTTAAGTGTCCAAATATCATTTTAGAGATAGAGAATAGTTAGAAATATTCTTACAGGAATATCAGTGATGGAATATCAAAAACTAATTCAAAACCAAATTGTGTTTTAGCAAAAGCTTTAAAACACATCCTACATTAATGAATCAATTTTTATTGTTTTAGTGCCATTAAAATGAATGAATTTATCATTAATAAATGAGAAGCAGCATATTATAATAGCAATATGTTAGCAGACAGATAGCATGTAATAGATAGCAATATAAGCAGTATATTGCAACAGAAACCAATAGATAGCTGGCCTCACAGCCAGGAAGACATGGGTCCAAGTCCCATCTCTATCACATAATGGCTATGTGGCCCTAGGCAAGTTGTTTAACCTTAGTGCAAGCAGGTGCCAATGACTCCCCACTCTTTCTCCACCACATTGCAGAGTCCTTTGTATCTTGGAAGCTCATTTGGTCTTTGGAAGTACTTTGTACTCCTAAGATCCCTAGTTCTGATTAGCTGGTTCCTCTCAGAACTTCCATTTAAGGAAAGCGCCCAGGCCAGTTATGCCTTTGTTAGCACAGCGCCTGGTACACAGCTAAGTTTTTAATGTTTGTTGCCTGTTGATGTACTTTGGCAAAGAATGTTCCTCACCTGAAGCTCTGCACACGGGTGAAAGCAAAGGTATAGTGAAAAAAAATCATGAATGAGTCACTAATGAAAACTACTGGCTACATGCGAGAATCACTGGCCTATACTCCTAAAAAAATACATATTAGACAATATTTGTACTGTTTCAATGTCAAAAATGGTGACCCTTTACTCATATAATGGCAATTACATTGCATCACAGGTTGGGTTGTTGTGCTTTATGTGGAAACATGAAACAAATGAACATGGGAAGTGCGTGAAGCATGAGAAATGGATTTGGTCTAATACGTGATTATATCAGCATGGTGAGCTCTATGATCTGACAACTACTTTCATATACTGAAGATGGGCAACTCGACTGTAAATTATGGTCTCACACTGTTCCTGGGACACAGAGATTAAATGACTGACCCCCAGCCACAGTCAGTATGTATCAGAGGCAGGACTTTCCCACATTATCCTCATTCCAAGGATGGCCCTTTACCTATTAATCCTGGGCATCTCTACAAGGTAGTGCAAAGAGTTTGTAGCAAGATCTGAGTTAGAATCTTGCTCTAGACATGTGTGTGATCCTAAGTCAGTTTTCTCAACTGTAAAAAGAGTAATAACAGCACTTACCTCACAGACTGGCTGTGAGAATTAGATGAGATGATATACGTAAAATGCTTTGCTAAACTTAAAGTGATTTAAAGTCAATAACTAGCTTTTACTAAGCTCTCAAGGTGTGCCAGGCATGGTGCTGCCTCTGGCAAGGAACACAAAATGCAAGCAGAAACACAGCCCCTACCCTCGAGGAGCTTATGTTCTATAATGGAGGGAAGACAACACAGAAAAGGAAGTTGAAAAGGGGGATGGGGAAATTGACAAAGGAACCGCCCCCTTCATAGAGGAAGTCTGGAGTGAAGTCAGGACAGGAATGAGATGCTAGCTTTTATCATTACTACTACTCCATGACTCTTCGGCCACACAAAATTTGAAAGTAAATACTTCCCTGCCACACAGCTGGACCCAACAGAATTAAAACTAGCTAGGCCAATTTCATCAGTGAAGAAATAAAGAGAAGCATTTAAAAAAAAGTTTCATTTAAAAAAACACTTTAATTTAGTTCTTCTTTATACATGGTGTTTTTGATAATTTGTTTTTAAATCAGTCCCTTCTGAATCCTCACGATTCACTAACTTTGTAACCCTTACCCCTCTCCCCCTCCCTTCGTTCTCTCTAACTTTGGAGGGGTAGGAGAAAGGCACACGGATCTGAAGAAAAGGTTTCCTACCTCTGAGGAGGAACAAACGGTAGGCAGAGCATTAAAATGAGTCCTATTTCGGCATAGAGAAAGCCTGCGACCGCTGCCCACTGCAGCGTCATGTCCGCGCTTCCACTCCTGGGGAGACAAACACACACGTTTCACTTTTGGGCCTCGGAAGGAAGGCGCGGCCAAAGGCCCCGAGGGAGCGTTCCTCCCCGGGCCCGGCGGTCCCCCGACCTCTTCGCGGCAGCGGGGGGGGGTGTAGGCGGCCGTGCGCGGGTCCGACTGCGCCGCTCCACACGAGGCCCGCCGGGCCGGGCTGCCCGCTCCCTCCCGGGCCGCCTTCCGCTGCGGGGCGGCCAGAGGTACTCGCCCTCCGCCCCAATTCGCCCGTGGGCGGCGCCAGCGCGCGCCGAGTTCACGGTTGGAGGGGGAGGGGGGCGGCCAGCTTCCGGGAAAGGGCGCCCAGCCGCCAGGGGGTGGGGGCTCGGCGAGCCCCAGCCCGGGCCGTCGCTCCTCGTCTCCTGCGTCCGCGGGGGCCCGGGGCCGAGTGGGGACTGGGCAGGGGCGGCCGGGGGCAAAGAGCGACCCCGAGGCCGGCCCTAGCTCGGGTTCCCTAACTGTGCTTACCTCTGCCCGAGGTCCGGAGCGGCGGCGGCGGCGGCGGCGGCGGCAGCGCTGCTGCAGGTGCTGCTGGTGCCCCTGCGCGGGGACGTCAGACGTTGCGGCGGGGGAGGGAGGAAGGATGGAAAGGGAAAGTGTAGCCAGAGCCCAGGAGGGGAAGCGGGGGCGTCGCCCTCTCCTCCGCCACCTGCTCCTTCCAGCGAAACCTCTGGGGGGAAGGGAACACTCTGTAGTGGCTTTGGTGGTGGCAACATCATTATGTTCATTGGTAATTAGCTTAATTGCTAGTGGTGGGGTTGAGGGGTGACTCATTATCTAGCGAATTGGCTGGCTCATGCTCCTTTAGGCGAAAAGGATGGGATGGGGGAGAAGGTGCCTCAGTAGAGAGGTTTAGAGGCCTTCTAGTCCACCTGCCTCATTTTACAGATGAGGAAACCGAGGCCCAGTGAGCCCCAGGTCTTAAGGGAGTGCCACACAGTAACGTTAGAGCCAGACTCTAGACCAGTTTCTTTGACTTCTGATCCTCTGTACTTTCCAGGTGCAACCACACTACCTGTCCTTAAGGTTCTAGAAGATAGGGACTAATTTTACTTGTTGCCAGGATGCCATGCATAAATAGTGGTGCTGTTGACGAGGCATTGTTTGCGTATGGAACTTGCTGCTCAAAGATGATTAAGGGAACAAAATCTTTCAGAAAGGAAACCTGGCAATACTGACAGTACAGTTTTGTATGGTACTGAAAGATTTTATTCTTGGGAGTTAGTCTTTGTTGTGAGATCTTCCCTTAGTCTTCCCTCTGGCCCTTCTTTCCTGCCTCCCCAGATCTCCCCTCCTAAGTGTACTTTTATGAGGTCTGGGGCAATTCTACCCTAACAGCCTCACCGATAATAGCCTGTCTTCTGAGGTGCTGAGACCAGGGCACAGCCTGTTAGATTGTACATAGCTCGGTGGATGCACCAGATCCTTCATCTCTAAGATTAGAGCCTTAGGCTCCTTATGTTATCACTTTTTCCTGGGTTTCCTCCTGTCTAGCAGATCAATTCTTCGGTCTCCTTTGTCGGATCCTCATCCAGGCCTCACCCTCTAACCTCAGGTGTCTCATAGGACTCTGTCTTGGGCCAACTTCTCTTTCTCCTCTATACCAAACTTGGTGATCACATCCTCGATCAAATACAAAATTCTTTATTTGGCTTTGAAAGCCCTTCATAATCTAGTCCTTCCTCCCCCATTCTCAGCTTTCTGACATATACTCTTAAATGACACTGGCCTCCTTTCTATTCCACAAACAGGGCATTCTCCTCCGGATCTTTAGTTCACTTTGTTTAGTTCACTCCTTTTCCCCTCATACCTGTTTGTATACATATGGTTTTGATCACAGATCTCTTATTTTAAGTTCTAGGAATTGCTTGGGATACATAGAGGTTAAATGACTTGCCCAGAGTTAGTAAATTGCAGAGGGCTTTAAACCAGGTCCTTCCTGTCTCTGAGCCCAACACTCTGTCCATTATGCCATCTTGCTTCTAAAACCTTATACCTGTTAAGTGTTTATTAAATGCTGAACTGAATCTAATTTAATACTGGATAACTTTACGTCTAATCAACAAGCACTTATTAAGCATGTACTATTGCTAGGTATTGTGTCAAATGCTTAGGATATCAAGAAGGCTCCTTCAAAAAGCTCACATTTTAATGAAAAGTTTTAATAGAGTTCCAACAATACAATATTAATTGGAATATATATAGAAAAATAAATAAATCCTATTAAAACATTCCAGAACATAAGACTATTTTGCAAAAAAAAAAAAAACTCAATATGTATTTAGGAAAAAGTTTGAGGAAGTAAGCAATTTTTAAACAACAGTCACATCATATTTTGGATTTATTTGCTAATACAGTAGAGTATAAATATTGTCTGTCAACATCCAAAACAATTATAGCATTGAACTAATTTCAATATAAAATACTTAATTCCGGTAATGGCACATTCTTCACCACTGATAATCATGCATTTCCCTCCTCCCTCTCCCAACATATGGTAAAAGTCTCAGAGCAAAGAACTCAATATTGTCATCAATCAATGAAAAGCATCAAAATACCAAAACCTGCTTATCAAAACTGGTATGATAAGCTTTTTTAAAAAAAAGGATAAACTTTTTTTCTACTACGTCAGATGGACATAATCCTTTACAATCCATCACTAAAAACATTCATCCTTAAGATGACAGATATAGATTTCAGCTAGGAAACTGCTTCAGGGATGGGAAGGGGAATGCCATTTATTTAACTTTTTCAGGAATATGTGTTTATCAAGTTCTTTCAATTTCCTAAATGACCTGGGAGAGCTGAGAAGTTGTTAAATAATGCCATTTATAGAATTTTAGGAAATCTTGTATATAAATGTTAGAAGCCACTAAATGTATTTATTTTAATGGTATTTATTTTAAATTATGCTTCTATGAATGTGGAATTCAATTAAACACTATCAATCTGGTTTTTCAAGTGGAGCTCATCATGTATGGGAGCAGTTCTTTACAAATTTTTAGTTCTCCATTTATAAAGATTTTAACACTGGTTTCGTAACCTCTGTAGTTATTTTCATTAAAAAACATGTTTGTAGCAATATTCATATTCACACATTGGGGCTATATTCAAATCATGAACATTTTATTTTAAAATAAAATGCTGCTTATAAAAATATTAAAGATATGATCCCTTTAGAAAAAAATTGGATAAAACAACATTACTAGTGAGCTTTTTCTGTGCATTATAGGATTAAAAAAAAAACCTAGACTTGATTCTCATCATAAATATAAAAAATACATTATATATCTGACAGTTTCACATGCTATAATGGTCTGTAAGGTAATCTAAAACTGCAGTTGTACTTGACAGAGCATTAAACACCTTTTTTTCTTGCTTTGATGTTATCCTTTCCATCATGTACATTAAATGATGATGAAAACACATAAAAGGTGTGCCATGCTCAAGGGCAATGTCAACCCAGTCCCAGATGCATTTCAGGGGGGTTTCTTTATATCCAGCAAACATAGCAGGATTTGCTAAAAGTCCTCTTGCAACCATTATACCTATATAAAAAATATGAGAAACACTGGTGAATTACAGTGAATAATAGTAAGAACACCCCAGTCAGAAGCCATCCCTTTTGCTTTTGTTTATTTGTACCATAATCAGGTATTTTCATATTTGTTGTTCAGTTGTGTCCGATTCTGCCTGACCCTGTGAACCATACTGTCCCTGGGGTTTTCTTGGCAAAGATACTTGAGTGGTTTGCCATTTCCTTCTCTAGTGGATTAAGGCAAACAGAGGTTAAGTGACTTACCCAAAGTCACACTGCTACTAAGTATCTGAGGCCAAATTTGAACTCAGATCTTCTTGACTCTAGGCCCAGTGCTCTATCCATCGAGCCACCTAGCAGACTCCATTTTCATAGTCTACTTCATATTATATTTATTTGTTTACACATATTATCCTTGCCTACCAAATTGGAAGCCCTTATAAGGGAGTGGCTGTGCCTCATTTATCTTTATATCCTGCTTGATACTCAGGCCACTGCCTGCAAGGAATAGTAATGATAATAAATATTTCTTGACTTAAACAGAATGTAAAAATCAATACTTGGAAGAATCAGTGAAGCTGAATAAATGACAGATTTTCATAATACCATTATTGCATCATACTCAGTGTATTACTTCCAATGAAGTCATTTATCCTGCTATCAAAACAGAGCTGTACTCATGGAAGTTAATCCACCAAACTCTAAAAATCATTTCTCATGATAAGCAACAACCTTCAGTTCCTGAAGCCCGAGCCAGCTGTACTAAGTTATAATAAGCAGGTACACTGATGCAGTAAAGGGGTAGGGGGTGGTGTCATCTGTCTGAGAAAAAACTAGTTAAATATTCACTGGATGGCTAATTTTTTTTTGGTCATGGCAAACCAAGAAATGGACAAGACAAGAAAATGGCCCCAAGAACTGCCTTGTTATTATTGTTCATTTGTTTCAGTCGTGTCCGGCTCTCTGACCCCATCTGGGGTTTTCTTGGTGAAGATACTGGAGTGGTTGGCCATTTCCTTCTCCAGTTCATTTTACAGATGAGGAAACTGAGGCAAATGGTTAAGTGACTTGCCCAGGGTCACACAGCCAGTAAGTGTTTGAGGCCAGATGTGAATACAATTTTTGCTGACTCTAGGTCCACTGCTCTATCCATTTTGCCACTTAGCTGCCCTGTATAGTCCTGCATAACTGCTTTTAATTGTGAGTGCTGAAGTGGCAAAAAAAAGACAAACATAATTTTCAGACCAGCCACAACCACCAATTTAATTTTTAATGTATGATTTTTATTCATTGACCTATGAGTTGGCACTCTATGAGGCAAACTGAACTATATTCATACTGACACTTTATAATAAATGAAAACCAGAAGATATAATGAAATTGCAGCCAAATGGAAGGCCATCTTGCAAATTTACTTCAGAGAGGCAAATAAAGGAACAGGCTGAGTTGCTTTCATCATGAACCCAAATGTAACAATCATCATTTCATAGTATACTTGGTCATCATGATAAGCAAACAAATCTATGGAGCGAACGGCCATTTATGCTCTACTGAGTGTGAAGAAGCCAAGAAATTCTATGAAGACCTGCATTAGGTTCTCAAAAACCAATTCAACATATATCTTGATTCTTTGCTTTACTGAAAAAGGGAATGACAGCAAAAAACAAAGAATCCAAAAGCTCACAGAAGCTCCATGATTGTATATCATGAATATCTTCACTGAGTAGAAACTCAGTGGCGGCCTTTTAAAGACACTACAAAAAATGAAATTGAGTATAAGCAGATAGGAAACAACTAGAAACTCTGGCATTCTTATCAGTCAGCCACATGAGGCCAGATCAGCAGCTGGTTGTAACTAAGGTCAATTTAAATTAAAAAAAAAAAAAGGAAATATAAACATGAGGAGGCATTGCTTTTGATGACAGAAGCTCTAACCCAATCTGTTGACTCTGAAGGCTGGACAAATGTTTAAAAAAAAAATCATCAATTCTTAAAAGAGTTTAGCAAATGCAAAACCATTAGCACAATAAGGCTGAAAAGTCCAGATGCCACTTGAATGAGTAAATGTCATCTTACTAAGCAGAAAAATGGGGCAACCAAGGCTATAATGGCTTGGAGTGGAAATTAATTTGCAAAATAGTTTAGGAACCTGGTAAACGACATTATCTGCACAAAACTGAAAATCAATGTTTTGCTGGACTATACATATTTGTTATAAGGGAGGACTTCTTCTTAGAGGTAAATATGAATAAGTTCATAATAATAATTTTTTTTTAACAAAGCAACTAAGAAATGAATCTCTGGAAAGCCTAGAGTAAGATCCAGCTAAACCAAGTTACTGCATATTATTTGTAAATGAAAGTAGGACAACAAATAAGAAAAAAATAGAACAGATCTGCTAACCCTTTAGTTATTTTCAATGGCAATAATAATGGAATGAGCACATTCTGACTCTACTGCCTCCTCACCTGATATGCTATATGATGAACTGGCAGTTTCAATTAAAATGAAGCTGGAAAGGGTGCCTTATACAAAAATGTTGCTTTGAACCGAGTTCAGGAAGCTACCATGGTGGAATGGATCTACTGCTGAATGTGCAGACAGGGAACCCTGGTAAGATTCCTGCTTTGTCACTTAATAACTTGGACAAATCACTTATTGGGGAGTCAGTTTACTTATTTGGAAAATGAAGTGGTTGGACTAGGTGACCTCTAAAGTCCCTTCTAGCTATGAATATATATACGATCCCCAACTGCCTGCTGTCACCAATAGCCACCTCTTTAATGCCACTATCTTCCTTATTATGTTATATGCTTGCAAACCAAGCAACTCTGTAATATCAGTGGGTAGGTCAATAAAAGACTAGTTGGATAAGCCATTATTCTACTGGGTTCTTGAGTTCCCTAGTGGGTCTTCTGGAAGCGTATTATTCACTAAATGACACTATAAACATAGAAAAGTGACTGTATTTATCATTCTATTGTTTACTAAATAAGAGTTAATATGAAAGGTGCCTAGCCTAAATTAGGCTATTGGGAGAATACGGCTCACTATTAAGTAGAAACTACAACCCTAGTAACATTAGTTTCTTAGACATTTAAAAAGATAAACTCTCCTCCCCGAACTTAAGTACTCATTTCTTACCATTTGTCCCAGTTATTTCCTGAACATTTTCTGCTTCCTTTAAACTTTTAATGTCTCCATTAGCAATTACAGGTATAGATAAATTTTCTTTAATTATTTTAATTGCATCATAGTGTACTGGCTGGTGTCTTTCTTCAATATTTCTCCCATGAACTGTAATCCAGGAAACCCCTGTTGCTTCAGCTTTCCGACAAAGATCTACAGTTCTTGTAAGATCATCATGAATCCTAAAATTCCAAAACATTTTATAACACATGAAAATTTAAAGAACTGATAAACTAAACAAATTAAAAGTATCACTCTTGTAGTAGATAATTTTATCTACTTATATTTCTTAGTGACCAAAACCATAGTATACAATGGGATTTTATTTAGGAATACAGTCTACTTCAGTCCATCTGGTGTTGCTATTTGACTCCTGGGACCAAGAAGATCACTGTCAGGCTATCCCATAGTATCCCATACTCCTGGGAGAAGTTCCCATTTTCTAGCTCTGGAATGATGACCTAAACTCTACATTAGAAGGATGGAGAAAAGTAGCTCTATACCTTCCAGCCTATTCTCGCTAGTGAGGAATGTGAAAACTATCTTAATGTACCAATAGTCTGTTCATGTCTGAGCTCTAAAAGATGATGTACTTTTCTTTTAAGAACAGTTTTAAATCCTTTGACCATTTATCTACTGCGGGATGTGTTGGGTCTATATATTTCTATGAATTGCCTCTCTACCTTGGCAATCAGAGATAAATGATACTCCTCTCATAATACCATTATTGCATCATACTCATACTTTTCAATGCACTGTTTTGGTATTGAAACTTTTTTGTAGATGTCTCTATTTAGAAAATAGATGTATGTGATCTTAATAAATAGCTCACTTTAAGTAAAATTTTCCTAGTCAAATGGCTGCTGAAAACACTGTCAGAGTTGTTTTACCCTATTCCAAGTTTTCATATTTTAATAGTGATCCTCTCTATCTTTACACTGTAGCAAAAAAAAAAATGGCATGAGGACATTCACAGTTCTATCACCCTCATTCCAAATTAAAATACAAAGGAATACATCATCATCCAGAAATAAAATTTTTTGCATCTAATAAAAGGATTATTTTTATATATACAAATAGTATTGACCAATCAAATTAGGCACTTTGACAAAAGGTACTTTTTAAGTAATAAAATGTACCTTGTCAATAGATTAAAACATATATGAATTTTTTTTTTACCTTATTTTAATGGACACTGAAAACTTTGGGTTTTCCACTTGACTTCTTACTTGTTTAACCATATCTTGAACAAGTTCAGGTTTATTTATTAAACATGCACCATATCCTTCTGTTATGGCCCATCTTAAAAAAGAACAAAATGAAAAATGTATATAACAAGAGGGGTTTTTAGTTTGGAAACATCTGTATGCGTGTGTGTGTATGTGTTTTTATGTGTGTTATTCTTGGTATACTTGAAAGCAAGTGGGTACCCTTTTTTGTTGTAATTGTGGAAGTGGAAGATGAGTTAAACAGAACCACTACCATGTATAGAATATATATTTTTATACACACAAAAATATTTCTTTGACCTATAATCAGAGAACCAATGATTGCTGGTATGTTTCTAAGACACAATGTGATGTTAGACAAACAAGTTCTAGGATGGATATAAAATCAGAAAAATACAATTTCCAAATCTCACCAGGCCAGAAAAAGTTCTTCTGTGTCACTGAAATCAGGTTCCTTAAATTTGATGATTACTGAATGTACACATACACACACATAGGCAGACACATATACATAGCTAAAATAGAGTAGATAATGAAGTTTTTGAGTTATGCTGAATTCTAGCAACACTAATAAGCTTTATTTAACTCATTTTAATGAGTACATCAATGTGACTATTTGATTGCATTGTTTTAAAAACTTTGATTTTTTTTTAGCATCATAACATTTAGAATTATTGACAGATAACACTTAGCACAGTTTCCTAAGTGCTTCTTATCAACACTTAGTTAACTATACAACTAAATATTATATTTTTTGGGAAAAAAAGATAGCCATTTAAAAGTTTGCCTTAAAAAACCAACAACAGGCAAAGGAATCACAAGAAAGGGTGTGGAGACCTCCCAAATCATAGAACCACATATCTTAGAACTAAAAAGAATATATGAAGTGGCATTAAAACATGTTACTCCCTTTTTCTATACATTGGAATCTCACTTAAACACCATACTTGGGTTCACACAATGAGGTCCTTTCGATGTTAGTAACAAAACCTTCATTGGCAGGGCTCAAGAGAAGGATATATATTACACCAAATTCAATTAGCAAGGTGAAATTACAAGAGTACCCTAGCATTATATATCAATCCTTTAGCTCTCAGGAACAATAGCGTCTCAAAATCCTTGAGTCTATTAAGTTTTTTTCTCTATCAGATTATCTTATTTCCAGTTAAGAATATTCATGCTTAATATTCTTCTTCATATGAATTATTTTCTATTTGAATTTTGGAAAACTAGAAAGATATTTTACCATGTTGATATAGATTTTCCTAATCTTTTCAGTAAATTCTTCCAACTTCTTTGAGTTTTACCTCTGAGGGCAACCACAGTTAATGTCTATTCCATTCACATAAGGACAGATTATTCGGGCAGCATCAGATAAAAGTTGTGCATCATTAGCAGCAAATTGAACAATCAGTGGACAATCACCTGATAAAATGAACATCTCATCATTAAAATTAGGAAGAAATAACATAGAATATTAAAAATAACACCCAGAAATTGCCTATGTAGGGTAAAACAATACTACTTTCAATCTATTAAAACATCTATCTAGAGAGGATTACAATTTAAATAGAATCAGATGTGAGTCTTTTGAAAATTTATGAGAGGATAAGAGGATTTATCTCTTTCCTCATGAAAGTGGTGGAAGGAATATTTTCTCTCCTTTATGTTCTGAAGAATAACAAGAACTACCTCTCAGCAGAAACAGAATGGGAGAATCTAACCATTCATCTTTTATGTTTTCTCCTGTACACCATTATTTAGAAGGCACTTAAACAGGAATTTGTTCATTGCAAATTGTTTTAGAAAAAAAATTCTATTAGGAAGAAAAGGAACTAACTTTGTGGCAAACTTTTATTGCCACCCTACTAAAACAAATCCAATGGTCCAGTAAGTCCGTAAGCATTTATTAAGTGCCTATTATGTACCAAGAACTGGGGATATAAATAAAAAAATTTCTGCTCTCCAAGAACTCAGTTTTATGGGGGAGATAAAATGCAAACAACTATGTACAAACAAGAAATATACAGAATAAATTGGAGACAATCAGAAGGCAGGCACTAGCTTTAAAGAAGATTGGGAAAAATTTCTTACAGAATGTGGGATTTTAGCTGAGACTTGAAGAAAGCCAGAAGATGGAGAGGAGGAGAGAGAACATTCCAGGTACAGGATAGCCAATGAAAATACTGGGAGATGGGAGATGGTGTGTTCTGTTCAATGAACACCAAGGAGGTCAGTGTCACTGGGTTGTGCAGCATGTAGAGGGGAGAAAGGTGTAAGAAGACAGAAAGGTAGGAAGGGGCCATATTATGAAGGATTTTAAGAGACAAATAGAAGATTTTATAGTTGATCTTGGAGGCAACAGACAGCCACTGGAGTTTACTGAACTGGGGGTGAGGGGTGGGGAGCCAGCGACAGACCTGTGCTCAAATTTAGGAAGATCGATCAGATAGCTGAGTGGAGGATGGACTGGAGTAGGGAGAGACTGGAGGTAGGGAGATCAACCAAAAGGCTATTACAATAGTGCAGACGTGAAGTAATGGCAATCTGTGCCAGGGCAACAGTAATGTAAGAGGAGAGAATGAGGTGTAGACGAGAGACATTTTAAACATAAAATCAACAGGACTTGACAACAGGTTAGATAAGAAGGGGTGTGTGAGAGAGAGTAAGGAGCAGAGGACGACACTTAGGTTGTGAGCCTGGGTGAGTGGGAGGATGGTAGTGCCTTTCATAGTAACAGGAAAGTTAGAAAAGGAGAAGGCTTAGGGAGAAAGATAATGAGTTCATTATTGGACGTGTGAGTTTAAGATATCTATAAGACATACAATTACAGATATTCACTAGGCAGTTGGCAATAGGATACTGGAGGTCAGGAGAAAGGGTAGGGCTAGATAAGTAGATCTGGGAATTATGACCACAGAAATAATAATTGAATCCATGGGTGCTGATATCAACAAGCAAAATCCTTCTTCCTCCATTTCCCCTCCTCTTTATCTTTAATATTAACATTAGATTAATATCTCTTCCTCATATAGAGATGTAGTCAGGCCACCTCTCTGCTCAAAAATATGTTGTTTCATAATGATTACTTAGTTCAAATTCCACTATATGACATTCAGGGACTTCTACCATCTAGTGTTATTCCATGAAACCCTTCTATAAACTCGATACTTAGTCAAAAGGGATTAATCTGTCTTTTGAATACAATCCATGCTTTCCGGTCTTTGCTCATATTATCCCCTTTGTCTGGAATCCACTTCCTCAAACTCTTAGCCTCTTTAATTTCTACCTATTCTATAGAGCCCAATTCAAACACTACGAAGCCTTTGGTGATACAGCTGGTTGGTTATGACCTCTGTTTGGATACTACTTTAAGGTTTTCAAAATGTTTTTCTCATAACTCCAAGAATCAGTTGGATTTTTCCACCCTGGACCTCATACTGCATATTGTTTTGTACATCCTTAATGTAGTTAGCATGTGTTAGCTATAGTTATCTCTGTATGTGTTTTACTAAATTTTAGGTTCCATAAGGACACGGACCATTCTACATAAACTTGTACATCTGGGATTACCTTCATGCTCAGTACAAAGCAGACACAATCAGTGTTTGTGGAACTGAAATGAACTGTTGAATAGAATAAGCTGCATAGCAAATGAGTATTCTGTGAAGTCTCAGGTTAAAAAGGATGGGTTTTTTTTGGTGAGGTAATTGGGGGTTAAGTGACTTGCCCAGGGTCACACAGCTAGTAAGTGTCAAGTGTCTGGTCTGAGACTGGATTTGAACTCAGGTCCTCCTGACTCCATTTTCAGTGCCCCCAAGGATGTTGTTGTTTTTTTTAAACAAAATCCTACAAAACTCAACATACAATAGACTATGCATACCTTTGTTTGTGGTGAATTCGCTATCTCTGGCTTTTATAGATCGGACAAAATCAGCAGCCACTATCATTGGAGTATAACACAGATCACAGTCGTATTTCCTCACTAGTGTTCTGAAAGCCAATCTGTGAGCAAATGAACATTTTAATCCAGCATTTCCAAAGCACTATGATCAATTTATTTCTAAATGCAATAAAATGTTACTAAGCATAAATTAAGGTAAGCAATATTCATTGAATCAAGTTTAACAAAATGCTACAAAGAACTGAGTTATACTTCTTAACAGTTTAAATTGTCAATTTAAAAATACCAAGTCAAATTAAAAACGTAAAATAAAAGAACCAGTCTTGTTTTGTACTTAATAAAATGAAATTTAGTAAGTTTTTATTATCTGTCAGTCATTAGTGAATGAGTCAACTGACTGTTCTCCTTTAAAGGATTAAGCACTTGTATGACGGCTACTCATAAACATAATTAAAGAGGTCTCATAAAAACACATGGATTAAGTTGTGTGTTGGATGATGTGAACCAATAGCAAACTAATTCTTAATATGATTATATTCAGAAGCATTAGTAGATGCTTATTTAAGGTGGTTAAATAGATGAGGTTCCCATGCTTTCTGAGAGCCTTTAATGCTTATCTTTTTCACGAAGCCTTACTAGGTTACTGCAACTAAGTGGTCTCACCATTTTTTGAACCTCTACAGCATTAAATAATATAATACTTATATTACCCTATACTCCATGGGCACTGCCTTGTTTCCCAAACAAAACTAAACTTCTTCAGGGCAGGGATTGTGTCTCATAATCTTTTGTATTCCTCACAATAACCTAGTCCAGTTCCGGGTAAAATCTAGGTCCTGAATATAAACCTGTTGAGTTAAAATAAATTTTTTCATCCTCAAACTTCACAAATAAACTTTGGAAGTCCCTGAGAAAACACAGGTATTCAAAAATTTAATGTCTGAAGATAATGGCAAGTCTGATAATTGGGAAATAGTAACAAAAAATGTAAATCTTATACTGTTTCTACTTCTCTAAAGATAGAGTCACCTAGATGGTGTGTAGGCAGAGGCAGAAAGCATAAGTTTTAGTTTGTGGGAAAACAGTTAACCTAATCTGTACACCCTAGAAAGATATTTTTATTGTATAATGAGCTTTATGTTTCTGCCATCCCTAATCATCCTGTTTTATAACTGTTGATTATTATATGGTTGCTGGAGCATTCTTTTTTGGTTCAATGTTTCAGACAGGGTCACTTATGATGCCAGTTATTTGAAGGTGAGGGTGGAGAATGTTAACTATAATTCCAAAAGGAAAAGGTACAGAAAATATAAAACAGAATAATCATTCACCATACTTACTTTGAATATCGAACCATAGGAGCACATATTTTTACTAGGTGCCCAGAATGAAACATTTCCAGTGGATCTTTTGTTCTTTCTTGACATTGTGTAGTTTTTGTGTAATCACAACTCATGAATACCAGTTTTTTAAAAAATTCTGAAAAAGATAATCCATTTTCATATAGAAACATGCCTTTCATTAGATACACATCTACTACATGTTTATTAAGGGCCTACTATAGGAAAGTCATTTTCTTAGGCAATAGGGAATATAACATGTAAATTCTAACATTACAAGGGATCTTTGATTTTATTGATGTGGGACAAATGATAAGAGATCAAAACCCATTTATATCATCTTATCTTGTGCAGTTCTCTTCTATGTCCTTTCCCCATTTTGCCTTGGGGCTCCCACTGGACATGCTGTGGGCTTTCTCTATGTTTATCTGAAATTGTGTGGATAACATTAGAGCATGTAGGCCATCCATCAGTTATCCATCATGCATAGAACACATACACACATAAAAATAAAGTTTGTATGTCATCAGTTAAGTCAAACTTGTTGGCAAATAAGGTTTTTTTTTCCCCCTGATCTTCCAAGTGTTAAATGGGATACTACAAATTTGGTTACTCATTAAAATTGTCCAAAACCTTTCACATTTTGTAAAGTGATATTATCTGTACCAGATACAAATAAGACTTTCTTATGTTGAACATTTACATTTAATTGGGCAACTGTTACAGCTACATTTCTTGTTCAAATTATTGGGAGCTGGGGTCACAGAAAATCTATAGGACAATTTCCTTATTCTAAGCTAATCAAATATTTTTTCCCACAATGTTTTATTCAAAATAGTATTAATAGATAAACCAAGGAATTTAGTTTGAGTCACTCATGTATTTATTAAGTATATCTTTCAAGCACTTCCTGTGCAATGTATTGTTTCAGACGCTGAAGGAGATAAAATAATAACTGTCATTTATAAAGTGTTTTAAAGTCTGCAATGTGTTTTTCACACAGAACACCTTCAAGCCCCACAATGACTCTATGAAGTAGGTACTACTATTGTTATCTCCATTTTACAGATGAGGAAAATGAGGTGGAAAGAATTTAAATGATTTCCCTCAGGTAACATAGCTAGGAAGTATCAACAGTAGCATTAGAACCTAAATCTTAGGCCCACCATCTTACCCACTACATTACAACACAGTCTTTGTTCTTTAGGATAAGAACTTACAATCTAGGAGGCAGCCATAAGACATAATCAAATAAAGTACAAATGAGAACACAATAAATGCATATGTGAGGATTCCAGTTTGTCTCCAGCTTAATATATGGGGAAGAATTGAATAAGTACTATTGATTTGACTAATTTACCATACAGTGAACCACAATATAGTTTATTAGTATGGAGTTCTTTGGATAAGAGTAATAGTTTTGATGATCAGTAGTCATACATAAAAAAATCCACAGAGGCAAAATATAAACTAAGTGCCCATTTGTCATGCTTTTTATGAAAGCGAATGATAGGAACAATGTTAACCTGTTATTCCAGTAAATATACAATGCCATCTGGCAATAATTTTATGCCAAGAAGGTTTGAATGTCACTAAGGCACTTTCCCATACTGTCCACAAGAATAGTACGGAATACTTTGTCAAATGCTATGAGTAAACTATAGCTGCAGCATTACCCTGATCTGCCAGTCTAAATCTGCCTCTCTTCAACTAGTAATAACCTTGTAAAAAAAAAAGGGGGTGGGGAGGGAAGGGAGATAGTGAAGTCAGGCTGGTCAGATGTTTTTACCAAGCCATTTTGATAGCCACATCCTTATCTAGATATTATTCACTAACTGTCCCTTAAAAAAATTCTAGAATTTTGCCAAGAATCAAAGTCAAACTCACTGGTCTATTGTATGTGGAATCTACTCTGCTTCCTTTGTTGAAAATGAAGACATTTACATTATTTAATCCTGTGGCACGTTTTCCTGTCTAAAACTCTTCACTTGAAGACCACAGACAATGTTCTGAGGATTCCAAATAGAGTTCACTTAGGTTTAAACTCATCAAGGAGAGTTTAGTACTCTCACACTCTCTTCTCCTTGCTCATCTTATACAGAGCTTTTAAAATTATGAACATGGTCGTTATCAACATATACCATTTCCACATATAAAAACAGAAAGAGAATTACATATGAAACCATAATCTCAATTATGTGCAAATTTTTAAAAAAGCATATGTTTAACATGGTAATTTCAATATTGTCCTGCTTCACTTTTGGAAATTCTGGTCTCTTCTGTGCATTTTACAAATGTTTCATGAATGCGTCCCTCTTTTTTTTTTTTTAAAGATCACTATAACCACTGCTCCTCCCCCCAACACAACAAAAATGCTCTCCCTTGTAACAAAGTACAGGTATGCAAACCATCCACACATTCTGCAGCTCTAGTGTATCATCTCTGTTACTATGATCTTCTGGATTTGGGGTTGCTCACTGCACTGATCTGAGTTACAGCTTTCAAAGAGTAAAATCAATTTCATATATAGAAAAAGGGAAAGGTCTGGCAAGATAGCAGTTAATGTGACAAATACCTAGAGCAAATGTTCTTAATCTGGGGTCCCAGATCATATATTATTATGCTGAAATACAGTTATCAAAATATTTAAAAACACACACACAAGTTCACAAACCCTGCAGTTAAAAATGGTTTTAAGCGCAGAGAGTTTTATTTCTGAGAGCTACAAAGCTACCTACCGTCTGCAAGGAAGGAATAAACTTCACACATAAAACTTGTTACAATTGTTACCGATAAGATCTCAAAGCAATCCCCTCACAACAGTTTTGCAATAGACATCAACATAATTATCCTCAGAGTCAGGCACTCTTGGCATCTCACTGAGATATATTTTTTGAAGGATGCTAGCTAACTCTTGACCCTTCTTGTAGTAGTGGACCAGGGACTGAGAATAAGCATTTGGTACAGCTTTTTTTGCCAGGCTATCAAGAAGTATGTTACCATGGTCCTTAAGTCCAACAAAACTTTTATTCATCCTTTTAGAGATCTTTGTCTCCTGCTTGATGCCCTTTGTTTGTTGATTCTTGGCAACATCCATGTTTCCTTACAGGAATCTTTGGGGAAAATTCCTTTGCAAAAATGTAGTTTCCATCTAATCAATACATACACACATACATACTACTTTGGTATACGGATAATTCAGTTCAAAAAATTCAACATGTGTTTATTCAGATTCTGCTATGTGCAAAGTACTTTACTAAGCACTAGCAATACAAAGACAAAAGTGAAAAACAGTACCCGACCTCACAGAGCAGACTTACAAAGGAGGGATACAATATGCAAACAAATAGATAAATTCAAGATAATTTGAAAATGGAGAGAACAATAACACAATAATAACACTTAGGGAAAAGGGAAGCCTTCATGGTGCATATAACATACAAGCTGAGCCTTGAAAAAAGCTAGAGATTTAAAGAAAAGGAGATGAAGAAATATGTTCCTGCCTTGGGAAACAACCAGCATGAAGAATAGAGGCGGGAACCAACATGGTTAAGTGGGAAGATACTGACTTTGGAGTTGGAAGACTTGGACTGAAATCCTGCCTTGGTCACAATCCATGTGATCTTAAGACAGTCAAAACTTTTCTGGGCTTCAGTTTCCTCGAATGTAAAGTGAAAGAGAATCCATTAAACAATAAATGCATATATAAGTAAATAAAAATGTGTGCAAAGTAAATACAGGGTAATTTTGGAGATGGGAAGGCACTAGCAGATGGGAAGATCCGGAAAAGTCTCCAATAGGAAGTGCTGCTTGAGCTGAGCTCTGAAGGAAGATGGAGATTCTAAGCGGTGGAGATTTCAAGTCCAATTCAAGTGCCATCTTTTTCATCAGCTTCCCCCAATTCCCTGGGTGGTAGAAGGAATTTACAAAGTATTTTGCTTTATATTTCTTCCTAATACCTTTATCATAGGGTCATAGTTTTAGAGCTGGAAGGGACCTTTGAAGTTATTTAGTCCAGTCCACTCATTTTACACATAGGATTCTATAGATTTTACAAAGGAGATTATGTGATTCTACATGGAGAAGTTCCAATCTACATTAATAAAGGTAGATGAAATCAAATAAAAACACAGGTCCTTGAAGTAAAAGTATGTCTTCATCACTGATCTTTCTCTCCGTGACAAACTTCCTATATTTCGCCTACAGTAAAAATATCTATAAACTAACCAATATAGGTTTCTGTCCATCTCTACCTAGAAACTGAGCCTCAAAGTGAGGATGACTTGCCCAAGATCTCAAACTCTGACTCCAAATTCGGTACTTCTTTCACTTTACCATACCTGCCACTCAAATAATTATAATAATTATCTGTCAACATAAGAATTAAATTAGAAATTCCACATAGGTAATGATCTTAACTGAGGTAAACTTTGCCTCTTGCCCTAACAAGTGATAACTGTGGGAATGGAGCGCTTGGAAATAAGCCTGAAAATGAAATCTAGCAATCTGGCAACCCAGGACCCACAGATGGTGTTAATTGATTGGCTGCTCCTTTTTATTTCTCTATAGGATAAAGCCTGTGAAAGAAGGCCTTTTTTCTGAACCTCCTAACAGTCAGTACTCTCTCCCTCTTGAAATTACCTTGTATATATGCTTATGTTACCTTGAGAGGATGTAGTATTTGGAATGAGGACCTTGGAACAACCTCTACCAGTCTCTAAGTCTATGACCTCAGACAAGTCATTAATATCTCTGTGCCCCAGTTTCATCTGTAAAATGAAAGGGTTGGAAGGCCCCTTTCAGTTCTAAATCTATGACTCTTTGTTGTATCTCCCTAGTAAAGCAGCCCTAACCTCCAAGCAGAAACTGTTTTTGCATGTATCCCTAGAGCCTTGCACATGGTAGGCATTTAATCAATAACTGATGAACAGAATTAAAGTGACTGAACCATTTTCCTGTATGCTTATTTCTCTTCTATGATAAGTAAATATAAAGGTGAGTAAAGGGAAAGGGTAAGGTGATCTGGTCCAGTGGAAAGGAACCCTAGTAAGATAACCTGGGTTTGGATCCTGGCTGTGATCCTGAGCAAGCTGGTTTCTTCATCTATAAAATGGAAGGGTGGACTCCACGGCCTTTAAGGACCCTCTTAATTCTAAATCTATTATCCTTTGACTCTGGTCCTCCCTTTTCTCATTTGCAAAATGAAGGTTTTTGGACTAGAGGCCTTCTAGGTCCAGCGCCACAACTACGAACGTATGATTTTTTTGTGCCTCAGTTTCCTCATTTGTAAAAGGAGGTGGGGAGAACGGTGTTAGATCAGCGGCTCTCAAACTCCATGATCTCAGGATTGCTTTACACTCTTAAAAATTACTAAGGCCTCTCTAAAGAGCTTTTATTTATGTGGGTTATCGCAGTAAGTTAAAACGTCTTAGCATTATTATGAAAGGGTCTCAGGGAACCCCAGATTGAGAACTTCTGGACCACACAACCCCCGAAGTCCCTTCCAGCTCTACCCCTATGACCATGTGAGTGTCTGGGCCTCAGTTTCCTCATCTGCCCAGCCACAGACGACCTCAGACGTCTCTTCCCAATCTGTGCTCCCCCCCAGCCCCCCCCATCCCTCATCTCCTCACATGAGCACAGAAAGTGAAAGGTCCCGCCGCCGCCGTCGCACCTCCCCCTCACAGAATCCACGCGACTCACCCTCCGGTCACCAGCTCTCGCTCTCTCCGCAGCCCGGTGAACCTCGGGAGCCGCACACGCGCACAAAAACTCGGCCAGGCTGAGCCCGAGCTCGAGCCGAGCTCGCGGGCGCGAGGTTTGTGCGTCACCAGCCTGCTTGACGTCATCAGCCCTGCACCTGCCAACATGGAAGGCACCGGTGTTGCTGGGTCCGGGGCTGAGGCTCCTGTTTCCGGAGCGGCTGCGGTCACGGTCCGCGAACTTCTGCAGGACGGTAAGGGAGCAGGACCGGGCTGGGGGTAGGGAGCCCCGCAGGGCCGCTCGGCTTGTCTCTAGGGCTGTCAGTCTGACGCTTTACTTTTGCAGAAAGTTTTCCGGGTCCCAGAGTGGTAGGTCCCTCTCCTGTCAGTCCGCTCCTGTTCTGGTCCAGGTGACCTCCCCTTTCTCCTGTTCCCCTTCAGTGGTCCTCCTTCCCCTGCGGCCGGGGGACGCCACCTTGTTCCCACACCGTGGGCACCCTGGAGTTCCCGTCCCAGCCTCTGAAGCCCAGACAGGGGCGCCTGCCCAGAGACTAGGTGCTGAATACGACCACGGTAGCGGGGGGAGGACCGGGGAAGAGAAGGACGAAGCACCAAGTCCCCGTGCAAAGAGGAGAACGTAGGAGGGGAGTTTGGTCTGGAAAGAGCCACTGCTGCCTGGGACAGTTTTGACTCTGCAACTACTTCAGAAAGTATTCAGTCCTCTGGAATGCTCCCCTGGTTTTTCTCCAATTAATTTTTTTTTCTGATGCATTCATCCGTACACACTTAAAGAACCTTCAAAAGAGACATGAGGGAGGGTTGCATTTGTTTTGTGTTGATGTTAACCAGAACTGCACCGTTCCCTCTTTTACTCCTATGATACCTTCTAGCTTTCTCAGACAGTGGGATTCCTCGAGGTGCTTTGGGTTTATCCGAGATAGAGCACTACCTCTTGGTGGCCGGGTTGTAAGCTGTTAATGGTAGTTTAGGCTCTAGCTGAAAATAGTTGAAGGCCTGAGTCAGGGTTGTTGCAGTGGCAGTTAAGAGGAGGGACTATGGGGATATTTTTATAAAATTAATTGTATTGATTTTTTTCCAGTTAGTAAGCATTTGTTTTCCCCCCTCCTCTCCCCGATTGAACAAAATAAAAATAAAAACCTCCTAAAAAGTCAAGCAAAGCACATTCCCACTTTGTCCATATCCAAAAATGTATGTATTATTCTGCATGTTGAGCCTTATCACCTCTTTGTCAGGAGGTAGTGAGTCTGCTTCATCTTTGATTCTCTGGAATTGTGCATTTTCATTGCACTGATCAGAGTTCTCAAGCCTTTCAAAGTTTTTCTGTATAGTATCAATAGTATGAATGTTCTTCTGGTTCTATTCACTTTACACTGCATCAGTTCATTTAGGTCTTCCTAGTTTTCTTAAAACTATCATTTTTTGATTTTTATGGCAAAATAATATTCCATTACATTCACTTATAGATTAATGAAAAAAGCATTTGAGTATTCATTGGCTAAGCGCTGAGAATACAAATAGAAAAGTAAAACAACTTCTGCTATTACATGTTGTTATATATGCCACAGTTTATTTAACTGTTTCTGAACTGATGGGTACCTCCTTACTTTCTAGTTTGTTTGGTTGTTTTTTTTTAACTAATGCAGAAATAACTGTAAATATTTCTAGTGTACATAGTTTCTTTTCCTCTTTCCTTGGTCTTTACCTAGTAGTGGTATCTGGTCAAAGGGTATGCGCAGTTTTTAGCATCTTTTGAAGCATAGTTCTAAATTACAGAATAGTTTACTGACTTTTGGGCATAGATCCCAATGCGCAGCTCTACCAGCAGTGCATTAGTATTATTGTTTTTGGCTCTGGGGAATCATAAGATGGCAAGAGCTGGGTTTACTTGCAATAACTTTTCCTGGAATGGAATACAGGGGGCTAGGTTTGAAATCTTCTTAGTAGTTGTATGCTGATTAAAAGTAACAGTGAAGAAAAATAATAAGATGACACCAAGATAGGCCATCAATAAATTTAAAACACTAAGGAATAAACCATAGTTCAGGCTGCTGGAAATCTTTTATGTAATTGTTCTCTATAAACATGGAAGATATTAAACCTCTTTCAAATCCATCTTATTGCACCAACTAGAACCAAACAAAAGATTAAAAGGGGAAATCATGGAATACTTGGGAGGAATCAAACTTTCTTATTCTCTCCGTCCTATCAATCTTTACCATGAGGCTGATCTTCCTTATGCAGAACACATCATGCTCATTCCCATTTCTTTTTGCTCACACTATTCAATTTAACAAATATTTTTAAAACTACTACACTTGCCATTTCATACCATTCTCCTTCCCTGGAACCAGGCATGCTGCCTCCGTCCTCTGTCTGTCCAAGTAAAAGGTAAGCCTTTCAAAGACAGAAAGCTTTGTACATAATAAACACTTAATAAAAATATGTTTAATTGATTTGAAACTAATTCCAGGGAGGTAGTGTGGTAGAGAGAAAACATTGCTGGATTTGCAGTAGGAAAAACAAGGTTGAAATTCCTAGCCCTGACTTACTTGTGTGACCCTGGGCAAGTTACATGATCTCTTTGGACCTCAATTTCCTTATCTGCAAAATGAAGCTATTAGGACTAGGTAACCTTTAAGTGTGCCTTCTTCTATTCTTCTTCTATACTGTTTCATTTGGTGATCTCATCAGGTTCCATGGTTTCAATTATCCTTTCTACACACATGACTCTCAGATTTCCTTATCCAGTCCTAACCTCTTTTCTGACCTCCAGTTTCACATCTCCAACGGCCTTTTAGACATCTTGAATTGGATGTCCCATAGACATTTTAAATTAGGTACGTCCGAAATTGATTATTTTCCTTCCCATACCCTCTCTTCTTCCTAACTTCTCTATTATTATGGAGAGTACCACCATTCTCCTAGTTATCTCCATATCCAATTAGTGGTCAAGTCCTGTTATTTTCACCTTCATATAAGTGCCTTCTCTCTTCCGACACTGCTACCATCCTGGTCTTACCTCCTCTTGACTAGACTATTGAATTAGCCTTCTGGTTGATCTTAGCTTAAGTCTTTCCCTACTCCAATCCATCTTCCTCTCAGCTGTCAAATTGATCTTCCTAAAACAAAAGTTTGACCATATCACAACTTTATTCAGTAAACTCCAGTGGGTCCCTGTTACCTCTAGAATCAGACTCCTGATTTTCAGAGCTCGCTGTGGCCCCTTCCTACCTTTCCAATCTTCTACCTTATTCATCTCCAAGTACTTTGTGCTCCAGTAACACTGACTTTCTTGCTGCTCCTGAAACACAACATTCTGTCTTCCAACTCTGACCATTTTCACTGGCTGTCCCCTATGCCCGGAATGCTCTCCCTCCTCATATCCACCTCCTAGTTTCCCTGGCTTCCTTCTGATTTCAGCTAAGTCCTACTTTCTGCAAGAAGACTTTACCAGTCTCCTCAATCTCAGTGCATCTCCTTTGAAACTACTCTCAATTTATCCTGTGTATATATATATATATATATAACTTGTACATAGTTGTTTGTATGCTCTTCCATTAGGCTATGAGTTGCTTGTGAGCCGGAAGTATCGTCCCCCGCCTCTGGATCTTTCTATCCCTAGTGCTAACCACTGTGCCCGGCTCTTAAATACTAGTTGACTAACTGATTCTAAATTACCTACTAGCTCTAAAATCTGGCCACCTAAATGTGGAATGCTACATATCTGTGGCATTGACCTTATTCTGGTAAGCATTTTTATTGCTGACTTAGATGAAAGCATAGATGACTTCCTTATCAAATTTTTGGATAGTGCAAAGCAGGGAAGGATTGCTAATGTGTTAAATGACAGAACTGGAATTCAAAAAGTTATTGATAAAAGCAATCTTGAACATTACCTTCTGCTCTCTCCTTCTTGTCAGTGTTATTCAGTAAACATTTATTAAGTGTTTCCAAAAATGCTAAGAACTGGGGATACAGAAGTAAAGACAGTCTTTGCCGTCAAGAAGCTTTGGTAAGGAATAAGGTCATCTCACCATGCCTATGAATGTACTTAAGTTTTTTTATATCCTATGAAAACCTTCCATTGATCCTATCAGTCTCTTATGCAAGTAACATACTTTTTCTACCTTTGCAGCCACATTTGTGGGGAAAATAGTTTACATTTGTTTTTTCCACTTTTTAATTTATTATTCCTTGAGATTTGCCTTCCATGTGCATGTTTTACTGCAATAGCTGTTTCCAAGGTTGCAGATGATTTCTTTTTCACTAAATCCAGTGACCTTTTTTCTGTCATTGGCCTCTCTTTGCTATTCAGCAAATTCATCTGGATTCCCTTTGGTTTCTTAATAGTATACTCTAAATGTTTTGCTGTGTCTCTGACTGTTCTTTCTTATTTCCTTCATTAGCTTGTCATACTTCCAAGCCTTACACCTGAATGACCCCTAAATTTCTGTACTTGTCTCTCTTTTCTTTATGCTCTCTCATAGTCTTTTTATCTTCTCATATGACTTTAGTTATAATCTTTATGTGGATGACTCCAGAATCTGTGTCTTACCTTCTCATTCTCAGTTTCTCCCCAGAGTTCTAGTCCCATTTTTCTAACTGATTTTTGAAGATCTCTACTTGGGTGTGTTGCTGACACTTCAAATTCAGCTTGCCCTAAACTGAACTAACCCGTTATCTTTTCATGACAACATACCTTCCTATGACTATACCTTCCTAACTGGTCTTCCTGTCTTTAGGTGGTTCCTTTTTCAATTCTCAGTAGTCTTTTGGTGGAATCGCCTTGAGCGTATCATTCTACTGCTCAAAATTCTTCTGTGGTTCCATGCTTTCCACTGAATTAATTTCATCTGGGCATTCAAAGCTCTTTATAATCTGATTGTAAACTACCTTTGAGCTTCTCTTATACTCCTTCCTTTGACATACTCAGAATTTTAGCCAAACCGAGCCCCATTCAACCAAATTCCATGCTATATTATTCTGCTTTTGTTAGAATGGACTCCTTTTGTCCCTTCCCTAGGGTCCAACCCATGCTACCTCTAAATCAAGTGTCATAAGGCCCTTTCTAACTTTCTTC